AGAGGATCCTTACAGAATCAAATTAAATTGTAATGCTTTCAGGAAGAAAATCCATCTGACGGCAGCTGGGGATTTTTTCACCATCCTAATGACATCATAACTATGCGTAAATTGGGTAATTAGCAATCTGAACTAGATGAAATATTTTAGTTGGCTCCATCTTCAAGAAGAAGTCAAGTCTGGGAGCAGTTGTTCCTGCACACAAAGGACAGAGTGTGAGCCTATGTCTACCTGAGGCTAAGCCTCTCTCATCAGGCTGTGGCATATATTCTCGGGCTCCCTCCCACTCCTCTCACTGGCATTAACTGACAAACAAGGAAAGGGCAGACATTCACTCCCACGGTGTCTTTAAGAGAGTTCTGAGTCTATAAAAATTGGTTTTGTGGGGATCCCTCTATTTGACCATGCTGCTAGAACTGTGGAGCTCAGCCTGACTCAGGGATGAATTCAGTAGGAAATCAGCTCAAAACGATTAAGAGCAGAAAACAGTGTGTGAAACACTCTGGAGACACAGCATCAAATGCCTACTCATTAGAGGCTGATGGACTGTGGTCCAAACTGAACCGACAAAGGAGAGTTAAAAATCACCTGGAGAAGACAGGTGACTCAATTACACTACTTAGAGCAGGGTCAGGCATGGTACTGCACAGCTTTAATCCCAACACTCAGTAGAGAGAAGCAGGTGATATCTGAATTTCAGTACAGCCAGGACTACATAGTTAGACTTTGCCTCAAAAACAGATGAAAAAAAAAAATCACTTAAACCTCTTAGAGTAATTAGTATAGATCAGCTAGCAACTGAAGAAAGAGGATTGAAGTTTTAAAGGGGTTTTCCCCTTTAAGAACTGTAATTTTAAATGTTTAACTGTTAGCTAAATGAGAAGGTATCTCAGACTTTAAGAGATACCACAGATGAAGTACAGTCACTAAGCAGCAGGACAGGATTGAACCTGTCTCACAACAGGAAAGATCCATTCTGTTTTTGCAAATACGGTTCCAGGCTCTGGAGTCAGACAGCATTAGGTCTAACTTCCTCTTTTTCCTTTTACCAGCTGTAGGATCAATTAAGTTTGTCTTTAAGAGATATGTGTGAATGCATGTGTGTGCATGTTCCTGTGCGGAGGTGTGGATATGCTCTATGCGTGTGGGTGTTCACAACACTCCAGTAGAGTTCAGATGACAACCCTGGTGTCTGTCTCTGCCTTGCTCTTTGAGAAAGTTTCTTGTTTTTCATCACTGAGTATGCCAGAGTAGATGGCCCACGAGCTCTGCTTCTGTCTGTGTTTCCTGCCTTCTATAGCAACTTTGGCTCAGAGGTGCATTTATTACCATGTCCACATTTACAGGGGTCCTGAAGGCTCTAGCTCAGGTCCTCGTGTCTGCACTACAAGCATGTTATTCAGAAACATTTACAGAGCCAGTTAAATTGTGTGTGTGTGTGTGTGTGTGTGTGTGTGTGTGTGTGTGTGTGTGTGTTTCAATGTCTTTTCAGTTATTAAAAATTTCTAGGATGGTTATGAGAAATAACATTTTAAAAAATTCTCTTAATGATTGGACATGGGATCCAGCTTGTGGCTGGTGTTCAAAGCACTGCTATTGCATTAACATTTATGGATTGGCAACTGGTTGGGGTCAACAGAGCCAGAAATATGAGTATATTTATCTAATTGTAATCTCTGACCAAGGTTGATAATTTGCTAGCTCCAGCAGGACCCTCCCATAGCGAGAGAAGTATTGTAAAGTGCTTATAGGAACCATCTTATTCTCCCTATTCCACCTGCCTTTTCCTCATTCCCAGGCCAGGGCATCAGTCTGTAAAGGGAAGGACTCAATTGTCACAGACTCTGGGGAGACAATAAGAATCAACAGTCTTCTTGTCTCTTAACAGCAGGGGCAGTTCTAAGGCAGACAGTCTCATGATTAAGTACATGAGGCAGTTGAGACTTGGTTCTGGCCTATCAGCTAACTCTACCTGGAAAGGATTCCTTTCCATAATTAGGGCCTAGAACATAAACACACTGCTCAGGAGAATCTTTATTAGCGAGTATCAAAGGAGGAAAACCACATTCTGGCTGTGAACAATTTCTGGGTTTTTGTGTTTGTTTTTATTTGTTTTCTTAAATCAGTTTTAAGGGTCTACATTTCAGGGAGCTGGAAAGATGGCTCAGCAATTAAAAAAAAAAAAACACTTATTTTTGTAAAGGACTAGAGTTCTGTTCCCAATTCCCACATCAGAGAGCCCACAATGGCCTGTGACTCTAACTCCAGGGAATTTAACACCCTTTTCTGTGCCCCAATGGACACCTATAAACACACACACACACACACACACACACACACACACACACACACACACAGAGAGAGAGAGAGAGAGAGAGAGTAAAAGTAAGGTAAAACTTTGAAATTTAAAAAGAGTTATTCCACTGAATTGTTATAACAATAAAATAACAATGAAGTATTTGTATTTCTTTACTTTCAGTTTGCTTAAAGACACGCCAGTTGGGGTTTCTCTCATTGTAAATGAAAGCATCCTAACAGATTCCTCGTCAGACAAACTCTGTAATTGCTATTGATCAGTGCTTCCCTGGAAAATGTCAGAAAGTCAGCTCTCCTAGCTCATCTAATTCATCCTGTGATTGTGAGTGCTAAGCAGGTCAGAGACCTTAAAATACATTCATTCTTGTTCATCTGTTGATTTCTCCTGATTATTTGATTACTTTTCTTTTAAGTAGAGTAATAGTAGATTGAAATAGCAGTAAACTAATTTTAGGAACATTACAGTGGGTTGTGAGATGAAACTGTCACTGCATCCTCTATTTTAAAGACTTCCAGGCCTTGGGCTATTATTCCTTTTCTACTTTGGAAACTAAGGTAGCCATTTATACAAAAGTATTTTCCCTTGTTAACTTTAAAACAATAGGAACAAAAAAAAAAAGAAAGGAAAGAAAAACTGAAGGAACAATAGTTCAGTAGTGGGTGGAGTGAGTGTACATTAATTTACTAAGTAAATATCTGCTTCCTTTCAATTAAGGACTTGGGGGTTTCGTAATGTGTACCATTCAAATGTAGCCTGAAATTAAATATATTCTCAAAAATCAACTAACCACGAGGTTTTGGTTGAATTTTGACTCAGAGGGTTTTACCACACAGATTTTAATCCACAGCATTGCATCTTCAGGGAGCATGACTCTGACAGACATAGTAGAACTTCTCAAGGTATATTCCCATGCTCCTATGCCTCCTTATTAGTTGTCATTTAGTATCTCTCATTATATAAAGAAAGATGTTCATTATACAGTTATCAATATACTACAGTGTAGAAATCAAGGATTTACCCAATCAGCTTGTTCTGTTGGTGCCCTTAAACTCAAGAGATAAAACACTGATGCCTACTCACCATCTCAGTTGGGGAATTGGATTCTATTTCATGGTTTTGGGTTTGACTCTATGTTCTCAAAAGTTTATAAAACAAGCTAAAAGCATAAGAAACATTTAATCTAATAACACACATACTAAATAATGTTAATTGAGCAAATCTCTGTCTTACATGAATAATCAACTTCTTTTCCTCTTCTTCATATAAAAATAATAGTGAGATATTAAAGCAAAAGACTCTCTGATGAAGGATATAGAATGAGCCAAAATAAAGAAGAGTGAGAATACTAGCACCAATACTGAGACCAAGAAGTACCCCAAGATATGCTCAAGAAGAAAAAAGGAAAGAAAATAGACTATATACTCAGAGTGACAATGAATTATATTATGAGCAAAGTTTTTGGATCCTAGTCAGGGCCTTAAGCAAAACTGTGGCAACCTTAGATCAAAGTTGTCATTTAAAGATTAAGTGACTTGACCATGAGGTCTAAAAAGTGGGAATAAACTTGAACAACTTTAATAGGTCTTCCAAAAAATTTAGAGATGCTTGGAGGGGGAGAAACAAAATATGCATCAATTTTTAGCAAAAAACAGTCTAAAATGTCAGTACAACAAGCTAAAGATACCAGATACCTCCCCCACACTGGGATCCCAAGCATCATGAGGAATATCTTCATTCCAAGGATCAACACAGAGTCTCTTGTTTATTCAGTAGTTCCAGATCTTTGATAGTTTCAGAGGTAATATAGAACAAACAGCCCCTGTGCATGGAGGAAATACTGAGAAGCCTGATGACTGAATATTTTCCTGTGTACATGATAGCAAAACCATGGTTGGTTTTAAACTACTACTTAGCAAGGCAGACTTGTCTATTTTGAGTCCATAGTTATAAAGAAAAACTTTTATTATATTTTCCATTTTCCAAGATGCAGAAATTTGTTGCTTAAACATAACCATGATGACAGTTAAGCAGTAAAAGGAAAAGAGAGAAAAGCTATGTTGTCATCTGTCTTTGCAAATTTGATGAAGAAGAAAAGGACATTCAACAATATCAGTAATAGTTACAATAGTGAAAATTCAACATTTTCCTGATTTTGGAAAGAAAATAACTCAGATTTCTATGGTAGGTGAAAAAGATAGTCTTCTTAGTCTTTTTTAGAAGTAAAATAAATTTTCTTAAATGATCCTAAACATGGCAGCTTTCTACTCCAAGATTATTAAGCTTAGATTGCTGCTCCTTGCAAAAGATATAACACACACAGATACACACATATGAATGTATATATATAAACAAACAAATAAATGCACCTAATTTTGGACTATATAGGAAATGCAATATCTACCTACATGTTTATATGAATACACATTATAATTCTGGATTTATAATCCATGATTAGTCAATCAGATTTGCTATACTCCATCATCACCACCCATAGCTCCTTTCTTGGTGCAAACATGTGTCTTCAACCCCAGACAAATTTTTGAAGAGGAAGGTAGGCCACATAGCAAAACCTCACCATCCTTGGTGGAGATGCTCTTGTTCGTGTCCTGTTTTAGATTCGTATCTTTGTGACAAAACAGCTAAAGTTAGCCAACTGAAAGAGAAAAAGCTTATTTGGTCTCACGATTTCGTAGGTGCCAGGCTGTTGTCACTCAGCGTCGTTGTTTGGGGGCATGTGGAAGAAAAAAGCATCATAGCGGAGGGGTGTGCTGCAGCTAAGCCAGTTACATCATGGAGGCCAGGAAGGAGAATGAGAAAGAAGAGAGGAAGAGTTAGCCTGGGACAAGACACCTTTGAAAGATAAACAAAAAGTGGCATTCTTCTTCTAATCAAACCCATTATTCTATGAACTTATCAGTCATAAAACACATCCACAAGGTTAATATTATCACAATCAGGTCACCTCTCCATGGTACCACCCGCTGATACCAAGCCCCTAATGCCTTGGGAGGCATTTTTTGTACCTTAACACACCTTATCACCAGTCTGTCATTTGTAATACCACCCAATTATAGAGCATGATAGAAGAAACAAAACTTCCCCATTTTGTTTCATAATTTATTGAAATGTTGGCCAACTCCCATAACTACTGCTTCTCTAGAATGATTAATTTAATAGACCATTACATCCCTCCAAATAAGGCACACTAGACTTTGTTTATGGTTCTTGCACATAGATTGTGACTTTTCAGGTACTGGGCACTCTTTTTATCAACTTTTATTTTGAATTCATTTATTTGTATTATCCAAATTCAAAAGATTCTGGTTTTAGATGAATAAGTAGGTCTGTAGTCTTTCAGGGAGAGCATAAAGGTTCACTTTACACAGTCCCAAAGAGACCATAGGATGGCCAAACTGCAATTCATTTTCCTTCCTGAACGTGAGTCATGATTTAAGCTTACTAAGAGGGTATCTCTTTCTCCTTAAAGAACAAGTGAAAGCCTTGTGTGCACTCTTCCTTCACATTTGAATAAGATTCTTAAACCATTACTTTAAGTGAAATTTGTCATGCATCCTTAAACAGATGGATTTTGAGTTTCTGTTTTGGAAAATGATTCATCTGGTGTTAGCATAGACCAGGCTGGTATTTGGAAGGAGTCAAAGGTTCCAGCTCTTGGGAGGCATAAGATGTGACTTGTCCAGGTCTGTGTCACAGTGGCAGAGAAAGAAGCTGCTATAACTCACATATGCCATGAAACCCTCCATAGAAGCACCCTTTTCTCCCTGTGCCCCTGAGTACAGCACCCATGGAAACCTCACATAGCTGTGATTGTAGTCTTAGAATCTTTTTTGTCCCACAAAGGGAAAACTGCAGTCTTCCAGAGAGGGACTTCAGGTCTCTTGTTCATACATGGATCTTGTGGTACAAACCAAAAGAAGTCTGTGTCAACTTAACACATGAGACAGCTAAGGGGAGATCCAAGGCACACAGGCAAAGTGAGTGGTTTCTCGTGATGGCATGTGTTACTGGGAAGTTCAGCATGTGTTTGGTGTACTTTGCCATTGACACCTCCAACTTCTTGCTTTCCCAAAGAAGCAGGTTTTAGTGGGGAAAAGATCAAAGGAGCATACAATAACAACCATAAAATATTTGCTTCCCATAGTGGTTCTTAGTAAATTTCATTTGAAGTATTTAAAAATCAATTTTAAGAAATAATGTAAAAAAAAATCAGAGTCAAAAGCATTTATTTATCAAATATGGAGCTATGAAATATGGCAATCTTAATTTAGGAAAAAACACTAATGGCTATCCCAAAGTTTGAGGGTCTTTACTTCAAGATCAGGGGAAATGTGGCAAAGGATATAGATAGCAAATTAACATGACAAACTTCAATGTTAGAGCCTTGTTCATACCTGGAGATTGTGCCCTAGTGGAGTTAAAAATTGGTGTCACTCATTGGAGAAAAATGCACATAGCCTTAAAGATGTTGCCTAATATTTTTATCATTTTGGCTAAAAATTGTTCTCAATGAGAGTCACATATCCATTTTATCATTCCTATTCTGGTCTCATTCTTAACCTTATGTTTTCTTTGCAAGAGTGATGTCTCATTCTGGCCTTTCTCGGCATTATACTCTTGATATTAGCTCATCACCCTTCTCTGTACTAGTATGTTTAAAATTCTTTTGCATGCATAATTAGTCATGCAAATTTTAAGCTTCCAACCTGAGAGCTATGCTGCCTTTTTCCCGTATTTATTCTTTGAAATGTTCAAAATAACATATTGACAAAGGTGTATGCTTTGGAGAGTCTTTAACAAAACATCTGTGATATGATTGTTGCCATAGCAACTGGTTTATTAAACATTAAAATTAATAACTCTGACAACCATTTAAGCTGGCATGAAAGGAAAAACTTTATAAATGTAATTGAGGTATAATAGGAAAATAGCACTCTCGGAGCAGGGAGACCTCCCTCCTGTCGCCTTCCTGGGTCCCAGTCATCTGCTGAAAAAAGTCAAGTGCTTGGGAAATTAAATTCCGTTTGACTTTCGGGTCCTTTCTCAATACTTGAGTAGGTATTTCTTTCTTTCTAGAACTTTTCAAGGCTATCCATGCTATATCAAACCATGGTTGCATGTAACTTTTGTGGCTGTTAAGAACGTCTACCTTCATTGTGACCTGGTATTCTGAAAATATTAATATATTAATATTTCAATTCTTTTTAAACATTTAAGACATTTACTTTTCACTGCTTTAGTATAATTTTAGTAGACACTTTAAAAAATTAAAATTTTTACTTTATTCAATTGAGAAATCAATTAAAAATTCTCAGCTTAGAAATATCATTATTCTCTTTTAACTGTAAAATAAATTAAAATATAATTGTAGGCAATTAAAGGGATTGGGACCCTTACAAATGGCTTTAAGGGCCCCGTGGTGGGTGGACTTTTCCTCATCTCCTAAGTGCAGTCTATGGGCAATCCCGTCCACATTTTTGTCCCCAGTACTCTCTTTCCAGAGAGGATCTCTGTCTGTCTGAAGCTCATGTTTCTCTTTCGAGAATTCAGTCTTCTCACTGTAAAGTCTAATACCCTCCAGAAATCTTTTAAAGTCTCATGGTATTTCTGACTCAACATACACCAAAGCAGAAACATGCCTTGACCTAATAGTGTATAGGTTTTCTGAGTTAATAGGCCAAAAACTTCTCATTTACATTTTGGATGACATTACAGAAATCTCTAGTGCTGCTACTGGAAAAGAGGGTCTCATTTATTGTCTATGCATCTTCTTTTTTAGATATAAATTGTATGTTACCAGATAAACATGAAGTTTAATGGAAACTGACATGACTGAGAAAAAAGAAACAAAACTACACATGAATTTCTAGAAAAATCATTAAAGAATATCAGACTTCAGTCTCATGCTAACACACCATCAATTCAAATAAAAAAATGTTGAAAGATTTATCCCAGCCTCCACTCATTCCCCCATAATTCCAAAGTAAATTAAAATGAAGATATTATCCATCTTTCCATATGCAGTGAAAACTGTTAAAGGCCAGAGATAGGTGCTACATTTTGTATTTATTAAAATATTACAAGTGTAGATATAACTGTGCCCCTCCCCCCAGGATTTATATACAGAAGCTCTACCTTCAGTAGAACTTTCTTGGAATCAGAGCCCTTGAAGCATTATTTAAGGTTAATTGGGGTCATATGTGTGGAGCCAAGTGTGTGAAAATTGCTGACCTCAAAAGGTGAGGAAGAGGAGAGACCATAGCAAGAAAGTCAGAGAGAGACCTAAGTAAGAAGCTCACTGTCTCCTCCAGGAATAGTTCTCATGAACAACCTTGAGGCCACTTTGCTCTTAGAATTCTGGATTCCACAACTGTGAGAAAAGTTAGTTTCTATCATAGAAGTTGTCCCACTTGTGTGGCATTCTGGTGCAACATCTGGGCAGAATGGAACAGTAGATAGTGAAAGAGTTTTGTTTTATTTTATTTTATTTTTTATCTTTTTCTGACACTGACATTATCACCAAGGGTAGGTGTGCCTACTTTCTAATTTTTCAAGAAAGTAAAAGTAATACATATTTGTTGATTCTCTCTTATGCTAACCATTTTAATTCAGTTCTCATATTCCAAAGAGGTAAGTGGTATTTTTTTCTCCATTTTAAAGATGACAACAACAACACACACACACACAATTGCTACAGAATCCCATAAGGCTTCATGGGTACAGACATTAAATGATTATAATTAAAAATGAGAGAGAAGGTGATGAAATTAAAGATGAAGAGATTCTTTTTGTTCATTCTGAAGAATGTTTTCATTTTACTCCTAGAATATGTTCTTCTGGTGTTGGGTACAATGACAGTTGTGGACAAATCCTCTGACCAGGCTTGACTTCTGGATCTTCCATGCTCTTCACATGTCCTTCTGAATTCATCTGCATACCTTACTATGACATTACTCTATCTGGCCTTACTGGAGGAATACTGGCCTGTTCTGGAATGGGGTAACACCCATGGTCTTTAGCTGAGAAGACAGGACACTGCTGGTGTCAGGGTCTCCAACCCCTCATTGCAGGGCTGTTGTTCTGGGCTTCCTCTTTGTAGTTCTGGGTACTCGGTGTCTAAACAAGAACTACTCAATCAAGATTACATGAAACAAATACAGATGACTGGATCTTTGACCATATCTGGACACACTGCATAGGCCTATAGTTAACATATCTTAGAGAGCTGTGAGTTATCAGGATCCTGTCTCTGTCTGTTGTGGAGATCTGCTAAGATAGTGTCTTCAAATCACATTACTGTTGAATGGTTTTTAATAAAAAGAACATCTCCACCAAGTGTCAAAACAAAATAGCATCTTCCATATGTGTCAAAATAAAGGAAATAAGAGGAGGGTGATAAATTCACATTATCACATTAGATATTTTCAAACACAATCCCCTGTATGAGCCCATTAGGAAAGCTCTGTCAGACCTTAGTTTCCATGATAATATTTCACTCCTAACCCCTGGGAGTTCTCTTGCCTGTTTTAATGATGTATTTGAAACAGTTGTGGATATCTCAGCAGAAATCCCACATTCTGCTGCCCCACCATGTACTGTTTTTTCAATACTTTTTATTGGTTCTTTGTGGATTTCACATCATGCATCCTGATCACATTCATCCCTCTGTCCCTTCATATCTCTGTCCTTGCAATCCCCACCTCCAAAAAATAAAAAAAAAAATTTAAGAGAAAGGAACAAAAATCTCATAGTGTGA